TCATCCTCACAAATGTCGGTATTTTATAGAATCATCGCTGTTAAAAAAAGAGTTTTTTCTTTTTAGATTCCACTGTTTCCCTTTCTCTTTGCCTCTTGTGTCGCTCTCTCTCTCTCTCTCTCTGGCCTCTCTCTCTCTTATCTCTACTCTATTTCTCTCTCTCTCTCTCTCTTGTGTCTCTTGTGTCTCTCAGTCATGTGTGTCTGTATGTGTGTGATGTGTATGTATATATATACATATATATATATATATATATATATATATATATATATATATATATATTCATATGTATGTATATATGTATGTATGTTGTTATTCCCGCGACCCCCAGCTAACTAGATATGAAGAAAAAATATAAATATATATATGAAAAAAATGTATGAGAGAGAGAAAAAAAGAAAAACCGATTCTCGCATTCTCTATCCGATCCGCTGCGATCACACTCAGAGAAGACCGTAGAGAAGAGAGAGAGGGAAGAGGAAGAAGAGGAAGAGAGAGAGAGAGAGAGAGGAGAGAGAGAGAGAAGAGAGAAGAGAGAGAGAGAGAAGACGAGAGAGAAGAGAGAGAGAGAGAGAGAGAGAGAGAGAGAGAGACAGAGGACAGAGGACAGAGACCAGACAGAGACCTGGAGAGAGAAAGAGAAACGTAGAGAGAGAGAGAAAGAGCAGAGAGAGAGATGAGAGAGAGAGAGAGAGGAGAGAGAGAGAGGAGAGAGAGAGACGAGAGAGAGAGAGAAGAAAGGAAGAGAGGAGAGAGAAGGAGAGAGAGAGAAGGGAATGTAAAGAAACGAGAAAAGAGAGAGAGAGAAGAAGGGAGTAAAGAAACGAAATAGAAAGAGGAAGAGAGAGAGAGAGAGAGAGAGAGAGAGAGAGATAGAGGAGAGAGAGAGAGAGAGAGAGAGAGAGAGAAGAGAGGAGAGAGAGAGAAAGAGAGAGAGGACGAAACAAGAGAGAAGATTTGAGGGCCGGAAAGAAAAGTCCATTAAAGCTTCTCTCTAACCGTCGCTTATTTCGCTTTGGCTCTCTCTCTCTTTCTATCTCTCTTTCTTGCTTTTTCTTCTGCAGTTTCTCTCTCTCACCTCGCTCTCATCTCTCCTCTCTCCTCTCTCGGATCCTCTCTGCCTATCATCGGTCTGTCTCTCTCATGCGTCTCTCTCACACTCATGTTCTTCTCGAGATCTCTCAAGGGGCTATGGAGGCGGGAATTTCGAAGTATCGAAGTCATCTCCATAGCTATCTATCTCTCTCGATTCCTCTCCGGTGACTCCCTAGTCGTTCGCGTATCTTTAACTCAGTACACTCTTGAGTAATATGCGTCATAATTCCAAAGAGTGAAGTTCTCAATCGTTACAAGTTCCACTCATCTCACGCGTATCCACTCTTTCGATACGGGTCATGTTTGAAGAAGGGAGGTATGATCTGTAGTCTTTCAGCGGGTAAACGATCCATCTCTATAATCTGAATCTCTTTCTGACTACTTCCTCTCTTCCTTCTAGTCTCGTCTCGAGAAATTTATTCCCCGTCGGTGTTCTCCCTTGATGCGGACTGACCGTCCCACGTCGAATCCCTTTGAATTTCGCTTTCTTTTCCTTCTCCAGCCCCCCATCATCCACGGGATCTCGACCCTCCAATGTAACCTCGTAGAACTGTGAGTGCTGGAGCATGCGAGGCACGCAGGGACTCCCCGATCCCAGTTGTGGCCCTCTAGTGGCTACACTGTCCCTTTCTTTCTCATTTCCTTCTTATTCTCATTGATTTATTTTGATTCACCTATACGCTCTTTTCTTTTTATTGTTTCTTTTTCGTTAAGTCAGGCTTGTTTTTTTTTTTCTTTTTTTTATTTTTCCATCTTTTAAAAACTTCTTTCGGACTCCCTTTCTAGTCCTCACTCACTTCTCAGCATCTTGTTTTCTTTACTTCACTTACTATCTTTCATTGTTCGATATCTTTTTCTCTGTTTCTCCTCCTTCTCTCATGTATATTTTCCCCTCCCTCGTTCCCTCGCCTCAGTCTTCCCTTCCCTTCCAGTTCCCTCCTTCCCCTCCCCTCCCTCCTCTTATTCTATCATTGTTCAAAAAATGTCATTTTTATATTTCTTATTATCCCTTTTGGCGAGTGGGGACACAGGGGAGGGGAAAAGGGGAAGGGGGAGAGGGGGGGGGGTAATGGGGAGGGGGAGGGTCTTGCTTGTCATCTTCAAAGTGTCTTTCATATCATTATATCATTATTTTTGTACTAAGTCATCTGTTAAATTAATCTCTATGTATCATTAATTTTTTGTTGTTATGTTTTTTTCTCTCTTCTTTCTCCCTCTTTATTGTTTATTTTATTGTTTGTTTTTGTCTTTCTTTCTCTTATTTTTGTGTTTTGTTTATTTGTATTTTTGTTTGTTTATTTTGTAATTTTGTTTAATTTGTTTTGTTTGCTAATACCCTCTTTCTTCTCTCTCCTTATTGTGGTCAAGTAGATAGACAGACAAATAGCGAGATAATAGACATAAGTAGATAGACAGATAGATATAGGTAAACAAAAGATAGATAGATGGGATAGATAAGGAGACGTAAACAAATATAGCGATAAGATACAGACCAAATTATGACAATAAAAGAATGCAAAATATTTCCTATCATATCTCTGTGTCTATCTATCATATCCTTATGTCTGTCTATCTATCTGCCTATCTGTACGTACATCCATATCTCTTTATTTATATATATATTAATCTATTTGTCTATCTATCTATCTAACTATATGTATATACTATTTACTACTAGTTGATTAATGATAATAATAATTATCATAATAAGAATAATGAAAATGACAGTGATGATAACTATAATGATAAAGTGATAGTAATAATGATGATAATTCAAAAAATGAATAATAACAATGATAATGATAATAATGATGATGATGAAAAATAAAGAAATTATAATATGACTGGCAACATAATTGCGATAATAGTAAAATAATGTGATAATTAAAACAAAAATGAGAACAAAAATATAACAGTATTGATAAAATAATGGGAATAAAAGGATAATAATAATAATGATAATAATGATAAATGATAAAAGGATAATAATAAAGATAAAAGGATAAATTATTTAATAATAACAATGATGAATAATGATAATAACAATAATAACAATATTAATGATGATAGCAGATAATAACAATAGTAATAATAATGATGATGATGATGACAATAATGATAATAATAACAATAATAAAATAATGATGATGGTGATAACAATATGATAATTTAATAACAATAATAATAATAATNTATAGGTAAACAAAAGATAGATAGATGGGATAGATAAGGAGACGTAAACAAATATAGCGATAAGATACAGACCAAATTATGACAATAAAAGAATGCAAAATATTTCCTATCATATCTCTGTGTCTATCTATCGATATCCCTATGTCTGTCTATCTATCTGCCTATCTGTACGTACATGCATATCTCTTTATTTATATATATATTAATCTATTTGTCTATCTATCTATCTAACTATATGTATATACTATTTAACTATCTAGTTGATAATGATAATAATAATTATCATAATAAGAATAATGAAAATGACAGTGATGATAACTATAATGATAAAGTGATAGTAATAATGATGATAATTCAAAAAATGAATAATAACAATGATAATGATAATAATGATGATGATGAAAATAAAGAAATTATAATATGACTGGCAACATAATTGCGATAATAGTAACAATAATGATGATAATAACAACAAAAATGAGAATAGTAACAGTATTGATAATAATAATGGTAATAATAAGGATAATAATAATAATGATAATAATGATAATGATAAAAGGATAATAATGATAATGATAAAAAGATAATTATTAATAATAACAATGATGATAATGATAATAACAATAATAACAATATTAATGATGATTACAATAATAACAATAGTAATAATAATGATGATGATGATGACAATAATGATAATAATAACAATAATAATAATAATGATGATGGTGATAACAATAATGATAATAATAACAATAATAATAATAATGATGATGATAACAATAATGACAATAATAACAATAATAATAACAAAAGTAAGAATGAAGACATATCCAACAGCAACCGCAGTGGCTCCCTGGCGGTGAAAATGACAAAGATAACAACAAGAGCCACAGGAGCCTAACCCGGGGGCGACACCTCGACATGTCCCAGAGTCTGTGTGGATGGGACAGTCATCGTCCACGCCCACCGCCCGCCCCTACCCCCTCTACCCACTGTGCCATGCCCACCCCTCACGACCCCCGCCCACCACCCTCTCCCCCGCCGCCCATCCCTCACGCCCCCATCTCCCCACCCTCTCTCCACGCCATCCCTCATGACCCCGCCCACCCTCACGCCCACCCCTCACGCCCCCCGCCCCCTCACGCCCACCCCTCACGGCCCTCTCACGCCCCCCGCCCACCACCACCCACACCCTCCTTCCACCGCAAACCGCCCATACCCCACGCTTATCACTCCTTGCCCATACCCCATGTCCATTGCCGCCGCCCATACTCAACGCCCAAACCCCTAATCCTCACGCCCGCATCTCAACGACCACCGCTAAATACCTATACCCACAACGCCCAATGCCCACACGCCCAACACCCATGCCCCACGCCCAACGCCCACCCTCACATCCACGCCCAACGGCCACCCCCATGTCACACGTTCACCTCCACGCCCATACCCTAAGCCCACCGCTCACCCCCACCTCTCACGCCCATACCCTACTCCCATGCCCACGCCCCCCCCTTCACGCCCATACCTAGGCCCACCTCTCACGCCCATGCCCTACGCCCCCCCCCTTCACGCCCATACCCTTAAGCCCACCTCTCATGCCCATGCCCTACGCCCACACCCTCACGCCCATACCCTAAGCCCACCTTTCACGCCCATGCCCTACGCACCCCCCCCTTCACGCCCATACCCTACGCCCACCTCTCACGCCCATGCCCTACGCCCCCCCTTCACGCCCATACCCTAAGCCCACCTCTCACGCCCATGCCCTACGCCCCCTTCACGCCCATACCCTAAGCCCACCTCTCACGCCCATGCCCTACGCCCCCCTCTGCCCGCCGCCCATGCCCTACGCCCCCCCTCACGCCCATACCCTAAGCCCACCTCTCACGCCCATGCCCTACACCTCCCCTTCACGCCCTACGCCCACCTTTCACGCACACCGCTCACCTCCACCTCTCACGCCCATACGCTACGCCCATGCCCCACGCTCATCCCTCACGCCCACCTCTCACGCCCATACCCTACGCCCATGCCCCACGCCCACCCCTCACGCCCACCTCTCACGCCCATAACCTACTCTCATGCCCTACGCACCCCCTTCACGCCCATACCCTACGCCCATGCGCCACGCCCACCTTTCACGCCCATACCCTAAGCCCACCTCTCACGCCCACCGTCTCTCCGTTGCCTCCCATCCCACGAGGAGGAGACTTCAACGCGGTCGCCGCCACTCGCCAAGGAGAGAATTTGGCTCTTCCATGTCTCCTTTCATCAATTTTTTCCATCTGCTTCTCTTTCTCTCGAAGGCGTTCTTCCATGTCTCCTTTCATCAATTTTTCCATCTGCTTCTCTTTCTCTCGAAGGCGGTGGCATTATACTTCGTGCATTAGGCAAAGGACACAACAAATTAACTCTACTTCGTGCATTAGGCAAAGGACAAACAAAATTAACTCTACTTCGCATTGCATTAGGCAAAGGCAAACTTCGTGCATTAGGCAAGGACAAACAAAATTAACTCTACTTCGTGCATTAGGCAAAGGACAAACAAAATTAACTCTACTTCGCATTAGGAGGACAAACAAAAATTAACTCTACTTCGTGCATTAGGCAAAGGACAAACAAATTAACTCTACTTCGTGCATTAGGAAAAGGACAAAACAAAATTAACTCTACTTCGTGCATTCAAAATTAACTCTAGGCAAAGGACAAACAAAATTAACTCTACTTCGTGCATTAGGAAAAGGACAAACAAAATTAACTCTACTTCGTGCATTAGGCGAAGGACAAACAAAATTAACTCTACTTCGTGCATTAGGAAAAGGACAAACAAAATTAACTCTACTTCGTGCATTAGGCAAAGGACAAACAAAAATTAACTCTACTTTCGTGCATTAGGAAAAGGACAAACAAAATTAACTCTACTTCGTGCATTAGGCAAAGGACAAAAAAATTAACTCTACTTCGTGCATTAGGAAAAGGACAAACAAAATTAACTCTACTTCGTGCATTAGGAAAAGGACAAACAAAATTAACTCTACTTCGTGCATTAGGAAAAGGACAAACAACTCTACTTCTGCATTAAAAAGGACAAACAAAATTAACTCTACTTCGTGCATTAGGAAAAGACAAACAAAATTAACTCTACTTCGTGCATTAGGAAAAGGACAAACAAAATTAACTCTACTTCGTGCATTACACTTTAACTCTACTTCGTGCATTAGGCAAAGGACAAACAAAATTAACTCTACTTCGTGCATTAGGCAAAGGACAAACAAAATTAACTCTACTTCGTGCATTAGGGAAAAGGACAAACAAAATTAACTCTACTTCGTGCATTAGGCAAAGGACAAACAAAATTAACTCTACTTCGTGCATTAGGCAAAGGACAAACAAAATTAACTCTACTTCGTGCATTAGGCGAAGGACAAACAAAATTAACTCTACTTCGTGCATTACACTACTTCGTGCATTAGGCAAAGGACAAACAAAAATTAACTCTACTTCGTGCATTAGGAAAAGGACAAACAAAATTAACTCTACTTCGTGCATTAGGCCAAAGGACAAACAAAATTAACTCTACTTCGTGCATTAGGCAAAGGGCGCATTAGGACAAAACAAAATTAAACGTTCAAAATTAACTCTACTTCGTGCATTAGGCGAAGGACAAACAAAATTAACTCTTACTTCGTGCATTAGGCGAAAGGACAAACAAAATTAACTCTCCTTCGTGCATTACAAACAAAATTAGGCAAAAGACAAACAAAATTAACTCTACTTCGTGCATTAGGCAAAAGGACAAACAAAATTAACTCACTTCGTGCATTAGGCAAAGGACAAACAAATTAACTCTACTTCGTGCATTAGGCAAAGACAAACAAAATTAACTATACTTCGTGCATTAGGCAAAGGACAAACAAAATTAACTCTACTTCGTGCATTAGGCAAAGGACAAACCAAAATTAACTCTACTTCGTGTGCATTAGGGGGGCAAAGGACAAAACAAAAATTAACTTCTACTTCGGCATAGGCAAAGGACAAACAAAATTAACTATACTTCGTGCATTAGGCGAGGACAAAACAAAATTAACTCTATTCGTTGCATTAGCGCGAAGGACAAACAAAATT